GCCCGAGCCCTGCTGCCCGAAGCTGTGTTCTCAGGAAAACGTCGCCCTAGCACTCATCCTGCACCTTCGTGTCAGAACGTGTGAGACAAGCCGAGGTCTCGGTCTCTTCCCTGTCGCCTTCCACCTCTGGCTGTTCCCCAAACAGTGCACTAATACGACCTGCCCTTCACCTGCCGTGGACGAGCCTAGCACTCAGGACCTTCCTTTGAACCAGAGGGCCACAGCCACGTCGGGAAGGGCTGTTCTGAGCCCAGGCGCCTCCACAGTGCCCTTGAGCAGGGAGGAGACCCCAGCTCTCCAGGGATGGAGACTAAGGGTTTTCATATGGAACCTGGCCTCTCAGGAGCTTTGGCACCATGTGGCACCGTGTGGCCTGGGAAGAGTCCCTTCCTCTCTGCCTGAAGGGCTGCCTGGTGCCTGAACCAGAGGTGGCACCTGGAACAGCTGAGGGACGCTGCTCTGTGCTGGCCACCGGCAGCCAGCACAGCCCCCTACGTCAGTGAGGGCCAGGTCCAGCGGCAGCTGGGAGCACTTCGGCTGTGGAAGAGGCCAGGGCGTGGCTGCTGCTGTCCTCAGGCGGTCTGTGGGCCGCCAACCTGTAGGACACGATTCCACTACCACCTGCATCCACACAGCCGGAAGCTCCTGTCTCCTGCACCTTCTCTCGGCTTCTTCCTGCTCCTTGGCTGCCTGCTCGTGGGTGTGGAGCTGGAGGTAGGGGTGGGTGGGTCCCCATAGGCACCCGGGGTTCTTGTTTGCACACTGGGCTCCCCAAACCTTCTCACACACCCCTGCAATTTCCCACCCTGTGCTCTCACCCTCCCTCCCCTGCAGCAGTCCCTCCACCCTCACCCTTCAATTCTTTTTTTTTTTTTCCGGAACTGGGAATTGAACTCAGGCCCATGTACCTGCCAGGGAAGCACTTATTCTACTGAGCCATCTCCCTGGCCCCATCACCCTTCAATTCTGCCTGCATCCTCACCCTGCTCCACTATGCCCCCGGGACCTGAGAAGGAAGCCCAGAAAGGCTGAGGGACCCAGAATTTATTCCTTAATGCTCCTGGTCACCTCTTTCTTCTCCCAGGCAGAGCAGAGACACAACAGGAACACACTTCTTGTTGCTCTTAGCTTCCACAGCTGCCTGCCCGAGTGAGGGTCTGACCACAGTTTATTTACATCCATCACAGGCTGCACCAGGGAAACCCCCGCTCCCAGCCCTGCCCCTCTCAGCTGGCAGGGGGCTTCCTAAAGTGCACTCTGCAGCCTGCAGCGCTTTGGCAGATGCTCCATGCTTTGCTCCCTGTGTGACAAGTCCCAGCGCACGTGAGCACAGCAAAGGGCGGAGGAGTCCCACACACTGCAGATCTGATTTGCCTTGGGAAAAGGTGTATGAAAAAGGGTGCGTGTGCTTCACCCCAGGGCTGTCCTCGGGCTTCGTGGAGAAAGCCAGGCCATGGATGGAAAAGCATCTCTGCACCCCAAGGCTCCTCAGTCCCCTGCTCACTGGGGAGGTGGAGAAACCTGCTCACATAAGAACATCTGGAGCTACAGGGGCCGAGGCTGCAGCCGGGGCACTGAGAAAGGCAGTCAGGTGATGTCGCCCGCAGGAAAGTGGGCCAGCTTCCTGCACGCTGGTTCAGGGCTCACGCTGATGCAGGGCACCTTAGCTCCGGTGACCTCCTTTTGCTCCCCTGCTGAGGACAAGAGCCTGCCTCAGGGACCTTTGAAGGTTAAGGGAGAGGAGGCCGTGCGAAGACATCACACGGATGGGCTCTGCGTAGGGCAAGCTTCCTGAGAAGAGCCGGACATCCGCAGACCGGCTGGCTGGGCCTGCTGCTGTCACTCGCTACAGCCCCTAAGCCCAGCGTGTGTGAGTGTGTGTGGCACTGGGGACTGAGCTACAACCCCAGACCCTTTGGTTTTGAGACAGGATCTTGCTAAGATGCCCACGCTGGGCTTGAATTTGCAATCCTCCTGCCTCAGCTTCCCAGAGTGTGGAGATTATAGGCATGCACCACCATGCCTGGATAGCAGCTACCCATTCTTCACGGATGGGGAAGCTCAGGGCCATGTGAGCCCTGGACGGGAGAAGTGAGGGCAGATGGCAGGAGAGAGGGCTGGGAGGAGGCTAGGCAGGGAAGGGCCATGTCATAGACTGGTGCCCCCAGAGGTCAGGAGAGGGGAAAGAGCAGCCGGGCATGGCTGCCCTGACTCTGCGGTCTGCTCCCTCCTCCAGCTTCCTCCTCCGTCCAGGGATCAGGTTCCCACTCCACCTGCTGAGGGGTCTTGGACCCCTAATGTGGCCTCTGGCCTAAGTGGCACTGGGACTAAAGGACCAGGAGCACTGGCCTGGCCACTCCCCAGCCCGGTCTGAGTCACAGGTCATGTCTAACCTTCAGCCAGGCTCCGAACAGGACACCCAACAGTGACCATAGCCAGCTCATAGCAAGGTAAACTGAGGCTGAGAAAGACCAGGATAGAACTGAGCTGGCAGAAGAGCCACATGCTAGGGCCAGGGCTGGCTCCAGCCCAGGTAGCCCCAGGAAAAGCCTGTTTCCTCTATTTGGGTGACAGAAGATGTGGGAGGGGCTCCTCATATATGTTCCCAGGGCCCGCAAAGCCCACAGGGTGATCCTCATGACTGCAGTTCCAGGGCTCATGGAGTACGCACTGACTCCCCAGCTCACCCCTGCCCTGTGCCTTCCTGGGAAGAGAGCCAAGAGGCTCATCTGCCTTCCCTGGAGAGCCTTGGTGGGAGTAGTGACCACAGGCCTCTCGGTGGGCCGGGCCCTGCTGCTCCCTATGTGGCCAGGAAGGAGACCTCGGTGGGGGTGACAGGGGCCAGTGGGAAGGTGGCCGAGGCGTCGGCCCCAAGGACCCGGTACAGCAGCTCCTCCTTCTCCTGCTGCAGCTGCCGCCGTCTCTGCGACTCCTTCTCCAGGGCCTCACGGGCCAGAAGCAGGTCCTCTGAGAGTTGCCTGTGGAAGGGACAGAGGCCAGAGCGGCTGCAGGGACTCAGCCTTCCCCAGGCAGCAGCCTCCTCCGGGGTCCCCAGCCTGCCCTGTCACTGTCATTGCCTGCAGATGAGCTGGCCAGCTGCGGTACCCGCTCATAGCACCCCAGGACAACTCAGGGCTACTCCAGCTCTCGGCCCCATGAAATCCTGGGTGGGTCATTTGTTGTCCCTGAATGTCAGCTTCCTCGCGTTGTAAGGTGAGAACGACACCTAGGACCCAGCCCTCCGAATGCCTGGGGATTCCCTGAGCAGTGCGGTCCCCTCCGGGCCGTTCACCCCTGTGGGCCCATCTAGGACCGCACTTCTTGCTCCTGTCTCTTCCCTGGAGCCCATGGAGGCGGCAGCTACAGATGCAGACAGCGCCTGCGCTTCGGGTGGAGCAGATCCCTGGGGTTTCCTGACTCCCAAGGCAAGGAGAGCCATGTTTGCTGTCAGCCCACTCCCCAGGCTGTTAGAGACCCGCCCGCCCTGAGAGCTTGGTGCGCAGAAGGAGGCGACGGCTACCTGGACACCACCACCTGGTTCCGGGCGCGGACGTGAAGGTCCTCATTCTCCTGTTGCAGGGTTGTGATTTTTTCCTCTAACAGCAGATTTTTTTCTTTCTGTAACAAACCAGAATGAACTCAGCTGCCAAACTCACATGGCACAATGCCTGCTGTCACCTCCCTCTTATCCGGGGTCCCCAAACACAGATTCATTCTTGCCTGGACGCTGCATTTCACGGAGCAGCGAGAACCTGCGACCAGCTACAGAGCTGACGGGCTGCTGTCCTCTGATTTTGCTACAGGGAGATGTGTAAAGGGCCCGGCCGTGACCCTCACACCCCAGCACCCCACTAGAGGGTGTCGCTCCTGGTCTCCGAAAGTCAGAAGGACACGGTCTATGTACACAAAATGAAGCTAGGCTACTATGCTTTCCCACAGGAACAGTTCAACAGAATTGTCAGGGAACGTCTGAGGTGTGGGCCGTGAGCTCACGGGAGGCCTCCAGAGCAGTGCGGTCTGTTTGGACTCAGCCCCAGGTCTCTGAGGCTTCTGCTCTGTAGACAAGGCCAGCTGTCCTCAGCCCTGCCTGGCCTGTGACATCTCCCAGCCTCTCCTGATTAGCCAGGCTACCTGTTGCAGTGTGGTCCAAGTTACAGCCGGAGGAGTGGCCAATAAAGGCCCAGGACCGGTGGCCAGGAGCCGCTGCCTGACCCAGCTGACCTCAGACTGGCCTGAGCTGCCTGGCATGCGGGTAGGCAGAAGCTCTACGTACCAGGGGAGGGTGGGACCCCTTTGCACACTTTCATGAGGGAAATGCCCAGAAAGCGGACTCCCCATGCTGCACCCCCACACACACTTGCAGCCACGGACCACAGTTTCCATGAGGATCAGCCGCTTGTCCAGCTCACGAATTTGCTCACTCTTCATCTCGATGACAAAATGCAGGCTCTCCAGCTCCTGCTCCCAGAACTGGCTGGGGCTCCCATGGTCCTGGGCAGGGACACGGAGGAGCCTCATCAGACCCTCAGGCAGAGAAGGGTGTGGGCTGCCTCCCTTCTTCCCATTCTGCCACCAGCTCCCTGAGTTTCCCAAGAAGCCTCCCACTCTTAATTCGCTTCACCTCGTTTTATCTGGTAACACCCTTGTGGTGCATCCTAGCACTTTGCCAGGTAGGGCGACCGCCTTTCACATAGGTCGGGTTCTGTGCTACAGGGAAGGCTTGCGATGTGCACCTAGACCTCGCCAGAGCCAGAGCCTGGGCCTTTCCCATCCCATCTGCCAGTGCCCACGCGCTCCTTCCCCCTCACAGGCCCTTCTGAAGTATCAGCTCTGAGACTCTGCCTTGTGCAGGAGCCCGCCTTTCCCACCACCCGACCCTGGCTCTCTGGAGGCTAAGGAGCGAAGTCGCCTACCTGGATGTGCTTCTTGTAGTTTCGGGTCAGAATGGACTCCTCCACCCTCCTTATCTTGGCCTGGAAGGCCTCCAGCTGGGAGGTCAGCACTGCTATGGTGTCCTGCAGGAGAGGGCAGGAGGGAGGGGCCAAGGTCTGACGGGAAGGTGCATTCTAGCTGTCCCAGGGGAGGAAAGGCCTGGGGCCCTCCGTCAGCCGCTGCTCCACCCACGCCTGCTCCACCTCTTGCTGTCAACCTCGAAGGGCTCTCTAGGGCCTTGAGGACGTGGTGAGCCTTCTGGACTGGTCTTAAGGCTCCTGTCTACAGTCCCCTCCTCCAGCCCAGCATCACATCTCTGTGTTCATTCTCGTCTCCAAACTTTCCTCCCCTCTGAGCTTTCCTCCTCTTAAGCCCCAACCATGACCTCTGGACTAAGTACAGCCCTCTCAGCGGCCCGGAGCTCCCATCTTCTGGCCTCGCCCACCTCTGGGGCTTCTCTGTCTCCCTCAAGCTCCACACCTTGACGCCCTTCAGTTCCTCTGGGATTTTGTGTTTTTTCCACCTTTTCTCCAGGCTTTAGGATAAACTGCTTTCTTCCTGCCCTTCTTCACTGAAGAATTCTGAGCCCTCTCTCGGGTCCAGTTAGATCTCACTCCCTCTAGGAAATGCCCCCTGGCAGCCACACTGCTGCATGCCTTCTTCCACATCCTCAGGGGCCCGGGCATCTCTGTACCAGTCTAGTCCTGGGGTAGCTGTGCAGTCTCCCATACCCTCCCAACAGACCTTGCAAAAACTAGCCAACCCCAACTGCAAATCCAGTCCTCTTGCGCTAATAACGGCCTGGTCACTACCTCAGGGGCTTCAGGACACCCAGAAGGCGGTCACCGCAGCCCCTCTCCACTGGAGTCCGCCGGCTTTGGCCATTTTGGAGCTCCATGCCGCTCTCCTGCCAGGCCTCCCCTGCCCGCAGCAGAGACTGGTGTGCTCCGCGGCCTCACCTGAAGGGCAGCTTCAGCCTCCTGGAAGGAGCGGGTAAGGGCCTCTTTCTCCTGCTCATGTGATGCCCGGAGGACTGTGGGGAAAGGAGAGCTCCATGAGTCCAGGTAGTGTCCCCTAAAATCTTCTGGAAAACCCCTTGAGGAACAGAAGGGGAGAGAGATGATCGCGCGGGGCTGGGGACTGGGGACCGTCTCACTTGTCCTTCGGTCCCCTCAGCTAGCAGAGGAGCCGTGCCAGAATTATGCCAGGTATTTGGCACAAGCTCATGGGGATGGAGATAAGTTATGGCCTGGGAAACCAGCGCCCAGGTGTGGGTGGCTCCCATGCTCCCCAAGCCTCAGATCCAAAGCCCTGCAGCAAGCTTGTCGGCCACACACATCCCACCATGGAAACAGCTCGCTCGGTGCCTTATAAGCTGGGCTAGCCAGGTCACACGATCACTGACCCCATGTCAAAGCAGAGGACAATGCTGCAGTGTGTGCGTTAGACTTGTGCCTAGGAAATCTACCTCCACTGGCTCAGCCTCTCCAAAACAGGGACCTTGAGAAGGTCACATCGAACATCTAAGCGTCCTGTGCCTCGATTGTGAAATGGGGCCAGTGTGCGCGTCCTCACTGTCTCTAGGGGCGACTCAGGGATCACATGAGCCGAGGACCAGCACGGCTTCCAGCTGGAGCCGTGCCGCACAGGGCTGGCGCTGCTTGTCATTCCCCAGTCAGTGGCTGTGTGTTCTCATGCGGTGCCCTTTGGAAAATTCCAGCCTTGTCTCAATTGAAAGAAGACAGCAAAGGAAGAGCTAATCAGTGGCCAGGAGCTCCACATAGCCAAAGGAACTAGTCAGGGTGGTGCAGGCCTGTGCTTCCAGTGCTGAGGCTGAGGCAGGAGGATTACAAGTTCTAGCCCAGCTGGGGCAGCTTGGTGACTTAGTGAGACCCTGTCTCAAAATAAAAAATAAAAATAAAAAATGACCAGATAGGCTCAATCACACACACACACACACACACACACACACACACACACTCACCCATGCAACCAAAGGGCAGGGTAGGTAGTAGCAACACAGAAAATAACGTACGGTGATATACATGTGACAGAGTTATCAAAACCTACAGCCTTAATTTTAAATAACAACGGGTCCAATTTGTTAATTTGCCTATCAAGACTAGCTATGGTTCCAGATAAGGCAGAAAGCTACATAATCTGACAGAATGAAAGGAAGTGCAAGACAGACAAAAGTGTTGAGCTGGGGAGATAGCTCAGCAGCACAAGTGCCTGCCTGGCAAGTGCAAGGTCATGAGTTCAATCCCCAGGACAAAAAAAAACCCACAAAAAACACAAGGTCTTAGCAAATAAATAGGAAGTACTCAGAAGAACTAAAAGGAAATTTTAGAAGTAAAAGAGTTATTAATGCAATGAAAAACTCAGTGTGTAAATCAACAGCTGGGCCGTGGACGTGGCTCAGTAGAATAAGTGCTTCCCTGGCAAGTGCAAGGGCCTGAGTTCAATCCCTGGTTAAAAAAAAAAAAAAAAAAAAAAAAGGTAAATCAACAGCTGGGTGGAGATAATATAAGAGAGACAGGGAACTTACAGATAGGTCAATAGAAATTATCTCTTCTGAACAACATAGAGGGGGAAAATGGAAAAAGATATCAACAGACTCCTAGGACGCTATAAGACAGTCCTAAGATGTCTAGCATCTGTATTATTGAGTCAAAAAGAGGAGAAAGAGTGTGTTTCAGAAAGATTATTGAAGAATGACGTCAATTTGGGAAAACATAAACCTAAAGAGTAGAGAAGATCAGGGGACTTCAAAGTAATCCCAATGAAATCCACACCCAGATGCGTCACTTCTGAAAACTAATGACAAAGAAAAATCTGGAATGGGATCATGAACTACCAGAATGTTATTTATGGGGTCATCAGAAACCTGGGAAACTAGAAGGAAGAATAAAATCTTTAAATTGCTAAAATAATTATAAACCCAGAATTCTATCTCCTTTGAAAATATCCCCCAGAAAGAGAGTGAAATAGACACACTCAGATTACGGAAGATCAAGACTTCATCACCAGTAGACCTAATCTACAAGAAGGAAGACCTAATCTTCAAATAATATGAGCGAACATAAGAAAAACAACACAAATATGCCTTGATAAATACAACAGATTATTACTCTTCTCTTGAGCCTCTAAAAATATGATCTATAATTAAAAGGAAAAAAGCTGTTGTCTGATGGAGCATCCAAATATATGTAGATGTAATATGTAAGAAAAATATTATATGTCTTGGTGTGTTTTTCATTGGGTTGAGGTTCTTTGGC